AGTAATTAAACGAATACACGTCACCAACCTTTAGTTATTTATCTTATCTCTCCCACCTGACTTGAAACACGTGTTGAACACGTAAGAAGATATAATATATTTGAAACCCAAGTAAAACGGTGACAATATATTTTAATTTAGTAGTACAATAATTTTATTTATGTGTACTAGTTCTTCTGCTAGTATAAACAACTATATGTTCTCTATTATTGTCATCTTTTTGTGCAAAAATGGCACCTAATCCAAAACTAGAAGTGTCAGTATATAAAAAAAATAATTTTTCAAAATTTGAATAAGTTAAGATTCATAGTGAAATCAAATATTGTTTTAGTTCTTTAAAAACTTTTTGATATTCTTCATTTCATATAAAAGATTATTCTTTTCTTATGAGCTAATATAATAGTGCAATAATTTTTGCAAAATTTTTAACAAAGTATTGATAATAAGAAGCTAATCCAAAAAATTCTTATAGTATTATTAAATTAGTTAGTATTAAAAAATTTTGTATTGCTAGAATTTTAGCAGGATCAGATTGTATTTCTTTTTTTTCAATGATATATTCAAGAAAAGTTAATAAAGTTTTCTAAAATAATATTTTTTAGAATATAGTTTTAATTTACTTTTTCAAATTATGTCAAAAACAATTTTTAAATTTTGTAAATGTTCTTCAAAAGTTTCTAAGAATATATTAATATTGTTAAGATAAATATTTAAAAATTTGTTAATATAAGATCTGAATATTTTATTTATTAATTATTAAAATATTACTGATCTATTTATAAGTTCAAAAGGTATTATATTAAATTTATATAATCCTTCACTAGTAGTAAAAGCAATTTTCTTTTGATCTTTTGGTTTTATTTTTATATGCAAATATCCACAAATAAAATCAAGTATTATAAAATATTTTGTTTTACTGAAAATATTCAATAAGGTATTAATTCTAGATAATAAAAATTGATTTTTTATTATTATTTTGTTGAGTTATTTACAATTTACACAAAATCTAAATTTTTTATTTTTCTTCTTTACTATGATTATAAGTACTAATCAAGAACTATTTGATGGTAAAATGATATTTTTTTGAAGTATTTTGTTGATTTTAGCTTTAATAAAATCTTTTTCTAGTGGTGTTTTTCTATAATATGATTTTAGTGCTATTGATTGACTTGTTTCAGTATTAATTTTATGTTGAATTATATTAGTTCTTTCAGAATTTGTTATATTAAATAGATCATTATATTCAACTAATAATTGATCTATTTGTCACTGTTGTTCTTTAGTTAAGTTAGTTTTTTTATTTATTATAGATTGAAATAATAGTTTAGAAATCATTTTGAATTATTGATATAAATACTGTTCTTGATTATATTTCAAACAATCTTATCATTTTCATAAGAGCATTTTTTGATGTTGATAATCTCATTTTTTTTCAATTCTTCAAAAATTGAATAAAAAGTTATTAATCTCCAAGTTAAGTATAATTTTTATTTACTTAAATATCTAGGATTGTTTGATATTTTACTTTTCTTTAATTATAAGAAGTGGTTGATCTAAAATTTTCTCTTCTTTAATTTCATATTCTAATTTATCTTTAAATCAAAATTTATTGAGTTAATTCTTTCTGATAAACCAAATTCTTATTGATCTTTTCTGAATTTTCTAATTCTTTTTATATATTAATAACTTTTAAATTGAAAATTTTTATTAATGATAAGAATATAACTTGAGCAATCTTTTCATTTAGTTAAATAATATATATTTTATTTGAATTATTATAAATATTACTTTAATATTGCCAGTGTATCTAGTATTAATTATTTTATCTTTTACTTCAACATCTTGTTTTACTAAAGATGATCTTGATATAAGTTAACAATAAGTATTTTCAAATATTTCTATAACAATATAACTATCAACAATTGTTATTTTTCCTGGTTAAATTTCTAATAGTTTATCTTCTGAATATCTGAGATCAAATTCTATATTAGTATTATATATTTTTTATTTTTCTTGTTGTTAAGATAAATTTTAATTTCAATATTATCTTTTTGAGTGTATAAGTTTTTCTCTTGTTGCTCATCTATTACATTTCTTCATTTAAGACAAGAAACTGATATTTTTATTTTCTGATTATTAATTTCAAAAATTAAATCTTTCTTTTTTCAATCTACTATCACTTTGTATTTATAAGTTCAAATATTTCCTAAAAAAAGATTATAATCTTCTTTTTCAGTTACTAAAGTATTAATATTCAAGTCTTTGTTACCTAATATTATTAGTAAATTTATTACTTCTTCAAGTAATTATTTTTTATTTTCATTAATTCTAATAAGATTAATATTACTTGATTTTTGAATTTTTCAATATATTTTATTCAAATATACTTTGAATATAATATTACTAATAGCTCTATTATTTATAATTATTGTAATGTCTAAAGATAACATGGTAACTATTGCAACGTAATGACAAATAAAGTATTATCTAGTTGTAACAAGTTACAGCTTATAAAATTTTGAAGTTGCAACTAGTATTCCTATGAACTGAACCAAACTGAACTTTTGTCCAGGTTCAAAATTTGAACTGAACTCAAACTGGACTTTGGCTTGAGTTCAAGAAAGATTCGAAGTTTAAATCAAACTCGAACTGAACTATTATATGAGTTTGAGTCTGGTTTGAGTTCGATTAAAGATCAACATATAGTATCATATACCAATTTGTAGCTCTAAATATAAGCTACAACTTTATAATTTATAGTATTTAGTAAGAATTAAAAGTTTACATAGTGATAACTAAAGTATTTTTATTTTTACGGTTATTAAATTTGATCGTAAATGCTATGTAACTCTCTGAATAATTATTATCAATAATAACTAACTTATATCAAATTGTAGCTCATATTTCTGGCTACAACTTTACATATAACCATAATTTATAATAACTATAGTAAAATAAATGTTTATTATACTAAAACTAAAATAGATTAAAATCGTAATAATTAAAATTATTTTTTAAATTCATATAACTTCTTAAATATTCATCCTAAATATTAACTATCTTATATCAATTTGTAACTCATGTTACAATCTACAACTTTACTTAGAACATCAACAAACATTTACTTGAACTCGAACTGAACTTTTGGTCAGGTTCGAGTCTGGTTTGAAATTCGAACCGAACTTGAACCAGACTTTTAATTAGGTTCAAATTTTTGAACCAGACTTTTTGTCAGGTTTGAGTCTGATTCAAGCTTGAACTGAACCAGACTTTTTTTGGAACCCTAATGAAGAGATTGAGTAATTGTAAAAATTATTGTCATCAGACATTGATTAAACACACACATCACGATAATACCTATCAGGAGTCTGATTGTGATAGTGTTAATTTATTATTCTTTTTATTTTTGCCTTTGCATTGGCAAATATTACATACTTTGATATAATTATCAATATCTTTGTATATCTGAGACCAATAATATTTTTAATATATATAATAATATGTGTTTTCAATATTAAAATGTTCAATTAAATATTTACTATATAAAACTGTTTTAATTTCAGTAATTTTGATAACTTGTTGTAGTTGGTTTGGATTAAGTTTTTTTTATATAGATAATTTTTATTGATAAAATATTATTTGAATTTGGCTAAAAATTTTTGGATTTGAACCATTGAGAGATTATCTGATAATTTTAGTGAGTTAAAATAATTATATAATTCAATATATTCATTCAAATTCATTTTGGATGATGCTTACCTAATTAATCTTTTGTTTTAGTATGTCAACAAATAGCTAAATAATATATAAAATATCACAATGATAACAATATAACAGAAAATCTTTAAAATAGATTTACTCTTATAATTATAAGAATAATTATAAAACAAGTTAAGTTTATAATTAAGAAAATTATATGATACAAGAACTCTTAAATTGATAATATGTTTCATGTTAAGAAATAAATCCAAATTTTAACCAGTAATATCATAAAAAAGAACTTTCTTGATAAATAAGAAGTTGATAGAATTTTTAACATGAAACATATTATTAAGAGTTCCTGCACCATAAGTAATGGAAATTGTGAATTTAAGATAGTTTTACTAATAGTATTTCTTTTATTACTATACTTTTTATTATCACTGCCTCTATCAGCATTCTGCACATAGACTATACAAGTATATGATATAAAAATAACAAAAGTACTAAACTATTCCAAATCTAAAAACTAAACTAATCTCAAAATCATAAAATCTACCCTTTACTCGCAAGATGAAGTATTGTTATATTTTTAGCCGCTGCAGTTTGGGCTCTTGCAGCGAAACTTCCTTTTGAGACATTGCCGCCGCTTGATTTCGCAGTAGATGATTGAATACATGCGACCGCACCAGATGTCATTGGGGTTTAAAATCTCCCCCGCCACCACTACACAGTGAAAGTCGATATAACGGACCTCTCTGTTCCTGCCATGCTATCCAGTAAATTGACGGATCCGCTATAACAGACAAAATTTATGTGTTTTTATAGCTGGTTCCGAAAAATAGTCCGTTATAAACAAATTCCGTTATATCAACGTTGACTGTGTCTGCCTTTTTTGCTCATCTAAAACAATTGTTTTGTTAATGAAATGATACAAGTTTATAAGAAAAAGAATTCGTCGGATTGATAAAATTGAAATGAGAATCAAATAATTTATAATTTGCGCATCCTTATTGGTGGGGATGGTGATACTAGGGTTGATGAGAATATTTTTCGTTTCTCCAACCTGTTCACAATTTCACAATGACCACGCGGTATTCTTTGGACGGTCTTGAGGTATTACCAATAATATATATAGGTATCGTATTCTTGATAAAAATTATTTAACGATATTATTCGTACCCTTTTAGACTCGAATAAAGGAACATAGTGAGTTCCTTGACAGCATTACAAGTCTGATACCTCCTAAACATTATTTTAAAAATGAACCTAGCGGCGAGGTTAAGTCCATTTTCTTACATACGTTTATTTCTAGCGGCGATTGCACCTTTAATATATTGATATTAAAGATGAATTGGTGATTTTTATTTTTGTGATAATAGTTTGATATTGAGGGTAGCGCACAGAAATACCAGCCAAATAAACGGAAACGACTCGAGAAACAAGTTCTCAATGAACAGAGAAAACGTGCAAAAAAGTTAAAAGTTTGTCTCGAGTTTTTTAATGTGTTTGTTTATTGATTTGGGGAATTGTTGATAGAATTCTTATTTAATAAATGAGATTCTTTGAAAAATAGCTTGATCCGAATAATTTAAAAACTGTACTCGAAATTCAACAAGAAAAACTGGAAAAGATGAAACTAAAAGAGAATGAAGACGCGGAAATAGATGAGGATGAGGATGAAGTTCAAAGCGATGATGATTCTGAAAATGAAAAAGATGTGAATTTGAAAGGTTTTCATACTTAAATATTGCGAATTTGATTTCGCTTTCAAAATATAACAAATAATAAATTCACAAATAGATGAATCGCCGTCAGTGCCTTCAGATAGTAAGTTAACAATAGCTCCATCAAGAAACATTGTGGATCGCCTTGCGCAACTTCGCCGCGCTTCCAGTATTCCCACTGAATCCATTAATGATGAGAAACAACTCTCGAAAAGAAAAGCTCGTGAAGCGGCGCAAAAAAAAGAAAAAAAATCTACCAAAAATAAAAAATCTAAAGATACTGCATCAAATAAATCTGAACCTGGTAGTGAGAAAGCAGATCATGATAAGAATAGTAATCATGAGAATGGTAATCAGGGGGAGAAAAAAATTTTTTTCAGTAAATTTGAATTTGATGAGCAAAAAAAGAAGAAAAAGGGTAAGAAAGATGAAAAGAAACTCGTAGAAGAGGTAAATAAAATAATTATCAGTAATTTTAGCTAGAGTTTATCCATTAATCACGATTTTTTTTTACTTTGCTTTGAAAAGCTGGAAACTCATAAAAAAGAAATTGAAAAATTGAAACAGGAAGATCCAAAAAAGGTAATGTATACTATTAATTCTTAAATACTACAATCATTGCCATTATTTGGCTAATTTCTCTTTTTAAAGGCCGAAAAATTGATCGAGACTAAATCCTGGCAAAAAGTGTTACAAAAAGCTCGCGGTGAAAAAATCAAGGACGATCCCAAACTATTAAAGAAATCGATCAAACGCACTCAAACAATTAAAAAGAAAAGTGAAAAAGCTTGGTAATTTTTATCTTTCAAATCAATAAATTTTATAATTTTAGCTTTTTTTTAAAAAAAGGAATTAATATCTTGTTGGTATTGTGCAGGAAGGAACGAATTAAAATAGTTGAAAAGAGTAAATTCGATAGACAAAAAAAGCGTGCAGAGAATATTCAAGCGCGTTTGGATGCAAGCAAGAAAAAAAAGGTAATTTTTTTCTAATTATTTATTAGTACAACTTGGAATTTGCCATATCCATCTAATGAATAACTAATCAAATTGATTTTTGTTAATAGAAATCCAGAAAGTGAATGCAGAAATTTATATTTCAATTATCATTTCCTCTATATTACAAAAAACCGCGATACTTTTTACTACAGTATGAATAAACGATAATGACTTATTGCATGAAATTACAAGAGCATTTTAAAAAGCATTTTAAAAACGCAGTTAAAAAGTAATATATAATCAAGTAAAATTATTATATACATATAAATCCAGTTATAATATATAAATTATGAAGTTAATATTTCTAGAAACATTATTTTTAACCTTTTTTACTAAATTCATATTGAAAAATAATTTAATTGTAACTATATAATATTTATAAAGGTTTTTGATCTTTATACAAGCTGAACTAAATTTTCTTACAATTTAAGTTTGCAAGCTAAAAAAACAAATTTTCATATAACTAAATCTTTTTCAAACCTGAATTAATTAATAACTATATTTTAAATTTTTACTATAACATAATTTCTAATTGAATTTTTTTATTTAAAATTTTATATAAAGCAGGAGTTGTAACTTTCTTACAAGTTTGGCTTTAATAACCAGATAATAAAATAAAATTCAATCACATATTATTGATAACAATAAATTACATCACACTTTGAAAAAAACAGATAGAAGTAAGTTCAAAATATCATAAAGTCAAATATCATAAGTCATATACCATCCGGTGAACAATGAAGAATGCACAAAGTGACAAGCCTAAGAAGGATTGAAACAAATTTATCTTTACATATTAGAAACAAAGCAAAAAAGCAATTTAATTAGTGCTTCAGTTCGGTTGCCTTGGCATCAACAGTATTAAATAATAGATAATAATAACCAATATTCTTATTACGACCAGGAAAAACCCGCTTCTAATATTCAGACATCTTGCGACGCTTTCATATACAGTTAACCTACTTTACACCTTAACACTCGATAAACAGAGTTATTGCTTTACATTTTTACGTGCTTTTAGCTCTCGAACTTCTCTTATAACAGCGACTAACAATGGAACTGAAATAGGCACAAACAACGGCATATATATAGCGTATTTGTGCTCGTCGGGGAAATACAACATCGAAACCATTGTTGGATCAAAAAAGGCGGATTCCGATCTCATGATAGCTTGTTTCGCATAATCTAAGGCGAGGTCATAGCGCATTTCTCGCAAACTTATGCATGACTAAGTAAAAATAATTCATATTAATACCTTAAAGATACAAAATCAATTCATTTAATACGAAATAAACTTGACCTGTTTTAAACTTTCCAAGGCATTCAACACCTATCATCAAAATATACAAGAAATTAATTAAAATATTAATTATAAAAATTGAAAATATTATCATCATTATTAATACCTCTATTTGAATATGATCCAATACTACCATATTAGGAATTTCGCTAACTAATTGTGAAAGTGACTTTAGTGTAGAAACTGCTGCAACAATATTTTCAGCAATACGTCGACGAACTAAATTATCAAATTCCCATAATGTTATAGCTGTATGAGGCGGTGATGCATAATTGATTTCAATTGAATATTCCTGAAATAGAATCCATAAAATTAAATCATTATAAATAAAAATTAATAAATTAGTAAAAAAATACTTACTGAAAGCTGAATTGGCGATAATGCACTTTTGAACTCTTGCACTCCCAATAATCCTCTAAGCTGTGAGACAAATATCTCCATTACTGGTTTGAGTTCCTCAATTGTGAACTTGTAAGTTCCGTTAGATGTATCGGGATTACTGATAACAATACCACCCCACCGAGGTATTAAAAATGCATTATTTTCAGTAAAAACACCTGTCAGAGGTAACTTGTTAGGATCATTCTTGTATACGAAAGTAATAAATATAAAATTTATTACCTTTTGAATCATGAATATAAAGAGGACTCTGCTTCTTTGACGGAACATAAAGAATAAAATTCATGGTAGGATATGATGATACAGCCGAGGCTTTTTGATATAGCGGAAAAAGTTTAGGTTATTATGAAATTCAAAAAATTCACCAGCTTAACCAACTCAATCTCATTCAAAGACTAACCCAAATTCCATTCAGCAGAATTAATAAAATGCGGCAGAGACTCTGGAGTCAAAAAATAATATGAACGGGCGAAATTTGCAGCATCATCAATATTCTCATCATTAAAAGTCTTATGTTCTGGTTCAAAAGTGAGAGCCGCGTAATGTTGAATTTGAGAGTCTATAGTGAAATTAGAAACTACAGAAGTTTCATCTAGGAATGGTTTCAAGTATGTTGAAACTGCTTCCTCGATTTCCCAATCAACTAGCGAATCTGAAGGATCGCCATTCATTAGACTAAATGTAATTTGATAAAGTGGCGAATACTTCAAAGTACGCATGCTAGATGGGTCATCCGCCTAAAAATTAAAATTTTGTATTTAAATACTGATGATGATGATGATGATGATGATGATGATGATGATGATGATGATGATAGTTTATATAAAAACCTTGGCCTCAAAAGAAGACTCAAACACAAATTGTTTGATGGTTTTTTGCTCCTCAGCGAAAAAACTCGGAATAAGATGAGCGAGAATTTTTTCAATTACGTCTATAAAAAAAACAAGCAAATTATTAATCTAAAATAGTTGTTAAGCTGTCACTAGTATTTTATTTCTTGTTCATACCTCGATTCCACTTATTTGTAGCAATTTGTAAAATAGCTTGTCGATTATTTCTTACATGCAATACATTCGAGTCAGCTCGAGGTAATATATAAATATCGTAATGACCATTGTTGGTCAAACTATCAAGGCGTAAATTTGTTAAATCCATATCTTTCAGAAAAGAAGAAAATGGCAGAATAGGCAACAAAATCGTATTAATATTAAAATGAAAATTTAAAGATGCACCTCCCATAAACACCCATACCATTCGATTACCACTTTCGCTTTCTTCCCAAATTTGCCATGGTCTACTTTCGACTTTTACTGGAAATTGGGCGATTGTTTTGATTATAGTTTGATTAGTCTCGGTTAAATTAAACGAAGATAATAGATGTTCTTGCAAACTACTGGTTAATTCCTTAAAGCTAAATGTTTCTTGGCCTTTTGAGGCTATATGAAGTGTGAACAGCGTCGGAAACTCGAGATGAGAAACCTAAAAATGTAAAATAAATTGATGAGTGTAAAGAAGCAAAAAGCGAAGAATAAGCCTTCTTACCTCCCAACTTGACCACTGTTCCACCTCAGTAAAAGGTAATTGAGCGCGATATATTTCGGTTGTTTTCCACCATAATGGAAGCGCGAGTATAATAACAGTCCAGAAGGAAATTAATATGAAACGACGTGTTTTATCGGTATCTTTACTCATTATTCGAGACACATCCTCAATTTGAACCTAATATAAAATTATTTGACTTCACGTGATTAAAAAAAGTGCATAGATTTTATTTAATTTTTTTGTTCAATAAAATTTATGATCCTGTTCATTATGCCAGATATTTGCAGTCGAAAAAATCGAGGGGTTTGATCTTAAATTAAAGATTAACCAACAATATTAATACTAAGACTAATAATAATATATTTCGTATATACTAAATTTTTAGTTTGAGGAGTATTTGATTTTAGATAGAAAATGGATACGAATAAAATCAAGTCATCGATTTGAAGTTACTCGAATTTATGAATTATGAATCTTCATTCCAAAAGATGCTCTTTGCAGCAATAGGCGTGAGAGAGGCAAGCGGACTTTTTTGATTATTTGAAGCACGAGTTGGCGTGGATTGATCGATTAAATGTGAGATTGAATAGTCAGAATTTGAATCGTCCTTGTCATCGTCGTCTTCTTCAAAAATAACCGATCGAAGTCGACGTACAAACGGCGAATCATATATTTCCATTTTTTTGCTATTATCTTGTGCATTAGATTCTTCTTGGTTGTCATACTGATCATTAGCTGCTTCTTCTTCTTCAAGATTAGGATCTTCCCAGACAAAAAACGGTGAATTTTGCAACTTATCAGATTCTGATTTGACAGATTGTGGTTTACTGGATCCTGGAGTCCGTATCTTCCTTTTAATTTTATCCGTCTTGCAACTTTCTTTACTAGTTGATTCGATAGGCGTGGTGAAGATGGCAATTGGAATTGGCTTCTCTTTGATTTCCGAATCGGTGTCTTTGGTTTGATTATCAGGAGTTAATCCTAATTTTTTATTAGGTGGAGTTTCAGTAGGATAAGAGGAATTAACACCATCTTCATCATCAGAATTACAGTCATTCTGATAAAGTATATTATCGATATTAAGGGCAGCTGGATCTTTTTCACTGTGAATTTTCTTCTTTCTTAATTGATTTGGAGGTAAGAGGCATTGATGGGAATTTTTATAAAATCTCAAATCCAATTCTGCAAGTGGTTCACGATCACTGGATTTCAAACGAGGATCAAAAAAAGGTTTCGCAGAGACATCGTATCCAAGAGGCGGAATATTCTCATCGTCGTATTCACCATCAGTATAATTGTTATCAGGCTCTTCCTCGTCCTGACAAGCAACAAGGCACGTAGAGAGAAACGATAATTGTTGAACCTTATGAAGAACGATTGGCGAAATGTTATTCAGTCCAATATCTTGTCGGTTTAAGAGTAAAGGAGAATCGAGATTTCTAGTTCTCAAAATTTGGGGAGTGTCTCTTGTGTTGCAATAGTCACTTGCGCCACTTTGAGGAGTTGTCACTCGTTGAGGAGAACTCATTTTTACCCTATTTGGAGTGCGTAAACGCGTAAAGCTTGTGTTTTCAAGAACACAGGGTGAACGATTCGAGTCCATTTATGTTTTATTACTTTTTTTTGTTGACGTTTCCAAAGGAAATGTAAAGACGCGAAAGAAATATAAATCGCGAAATAAATTAATTGTCAACCAATAATATTTCATTAAGCAGATATTACAGAACAGGTGATGTTCAAGGAATTTATATTCTATAGGGAATACAGGGGTTACTTTTGGCCAACATTAATCTATCTCACCAGCACTAACCCTAAACTCCTAATTTGGGCCGGATAATACCATTTATTGGATAATTATTTCTCTGTTTTATTGAACAACTATTTTTAGAATTTGCAATGGTATAAATGAAATTTTATATATTAAATACAGTCAAATGTCTTTATAATTATACTTATTTATAGTCACATTCCTTTATAATTATTTTGTTTTGTTTTTTCATTAATATATAAATATAATAAAAAATTTCTATAATCACATTCTTTTTATAATCACTTAATTATAGAGAGATTTAATTGTACAAATAAAATAAATATTGTTATATAAGGTAACTAATTTTAATTATAATATAAATAGAGTATTGTTATTGCCACCCCCCACTTTTGCTATTGCCATCCCATCACGTGATTAGAAATAGATCAGTTTGGATCAGTTCAAAACTGGATCATGGTCACCTGTTTGAGATCACGTGTTCACATGATTCCATCACATGCAAGTCTTTCCATAATAGCTGTTTCTTGGAGGTTTCACACAATAATTATTCTAATCGATCAAATGAATAAAAAAAATAAGTCTTTTCATAATAGTTGTTTCTTGAAGATTTCACGCAATAATTATTCTAATCGATCAAATGAACAAAAAAAAACAAGTCTTTCCATAATAGCCGCTTCTTGAAGGTTTCACACAATAATTATTCTAATTGATCAAATGAATAAAAAAAACAAGTCTTTCCATAATAGTCGCTTCTTGTTCACGCAATAATAATTCTAATCAATTAAATGAACAAAAAAAAACAAGTCTTTCCATAATAGCTGCTTCTTGGAGATTTCATGCAATAATTATTCTAATCGATCAAATGAACAAAAAAAACAAGTCTTTCCATAATAGCCGCTTCTTGTTCATGCAATAATTATTCTAATCGATCAAATGAACAAAAAAAACAAGTCTTTTCATAATAGTCACTTCTTGGAGGTTTCACGCAATAATTATTCTAATCAATCAAATGAACAAAAAAAAACAGTTAAGTCTTTCCATAATAGCCGCTTCTTGTTCACGCAATAATTATTCTAACCGATCAAAATGAACAAAAAAAATAATTAATTAAGTTTTTCCATAATAGCCACTTCTTGAAGGTTTCACGCAATAATAATTATTCTAAAAAAATTAAGAAAAACGTGATTTACTACATTTTTTACAAAAGAAAATGAATTTTGTAGAACCGCAGATTCACATATTAGAACATGTACAGTTATTGTGACCAGTTTGACGGCATATATCACACTGTCTTGCTCGTCTTTTGACGAGTTCGAATGCAGACAGATCTCTTTGCATCGATTTCTGGCTTTGGTTTTTTGCTCTAATTGGTCTTTCTCGTGGTCTAATAATAGCAAGATTTTTCAGCACAACAGGAGGTGTATGCGCCAGCTCTTCCAGCTGAGCGTGAGCAACAATTTGCTGATGCAATGGTCAGAATTGGTACTGCTGCGCAAGAGACTGCAGAAGAGGCTGGAGATCAGTGCAATCGTTATCAGCAGGGCGTGTGAGATCTTCTAAGAATTCAAGATGATGATCTTGGATCCATTATTATTTGTGGACATCGACTTGCTGCAATACTTGACCAGCGGCTAGACGTTCACTGATGACATGCGAACATGGAAGTCCCATCGTGGAACTGAAGATTCCTGTACAAGAATCTAAAGGTGAGTCTAGAGTTGCACTTGATGCCTTGATTCACTCGTCACGAATCTTCTTCAAGGCAAAAGCGGATATATGATACAGGAGAGATTCAAACAGAGTGATTCGGTACATATGTCCTACTCTCATACGCTCAGAAGAGATCATTGCACAAATTTCTCTTGCCTGAGATTCTACTTCTGATACGATTTTGCGGTGCACTAACTCGAGATCGCCTGTGGATGACTGCAAACACCTTTTAAGAGTGGCATGTGCACCTTCCACTCGTGAAGTTGTCTTGTTACCAAGATGCAAGTAATGATCAACCCAGGCAAAAATGAAGCACTTCTTATGTGGCATCCAGGTCTCTTGAAAATACTGCAGAACATCAGGTTTGCTCTCGTAACACTCCAAAAATTCATTTCATTGGGTTGTGAAGTCTTGCTCAGTAACAGACACCATAATCACTTGCCACATTCCCATAAACTCAGTTCAATGCTTTTCCGTATCAAAATGACGCTTATATTTGACCAAAATATTCTTATTTATATGCCAAATGCATAAAAGATGTTTAGTACCAGAAAAGACTGTACCAATAAATCTTGTCAGTACCAATTCTCGATCAGTGACAATGATACTAGGGTGAGATAATTCGTTGAAGATCCTCGAAGCACAAGTCAAAGCCCATTCGTAACTCTCTTCTGTTTCATCACTCAGAAAAGCAAAGCAGGAAAAGAACGACGTGTTAAAGCTTGTTATATCAACAACATTCAGCAGAGGTATCTGATATCTGTTCGTCTTGTACATGCAATCCAAAAGTAGTGCAATGTGGTAGGTGCGAGTCAAGGCAATGGATATTCTATGCGCAAAAAAAAGATGTGTGATTCGATCTTGGTGATCATAACGATATTCAAACTTGCAATTCTTCGAGAAGGGCCTGGATCAATGTACGACCGTCAAGTCTTTCTTGACGAATGGAGAACAAAGCATTGTAGATTTGGATATGGCCATAAAAGAAGGATCGCTCTGTCGAATGGTTGACAAAATTTGACGAGGATGGGAACCAGCAGCAGACATTTGTCAAACTTGCTCTTGTTGCTCGGTGTTCAACCTGCGAGTGATTGGATGACCAGACATATTGTTGTATAATGGAATTTCACATTAATTATTAGTCAAAATTATCATTTAATCTTATTGGATAATTTTGAGAAC